TATATGTGTGTGTGTGTGTGTGTGTGTGTGTGTGTGTGTGTGTGTGTGCTACCCCACACTTCCAAGTATACTTAATCAAACAAGTGATTTTACAGGGCCCTTGATTACATGCATTCCCTCAACTAGATTCAAGGATGTTAGGATATAAGGTAGGATGTAGGCTTACTTATGGCTGGCTGGACAGACTCAGCAGGATGTTTTGTTGACGCGACGTTGGACTGCTGTTGCTGGTGGGACTTGCGGCTCTCTCCTTTACTTCCTCCTTGGAGTGGTGGTTGTTGAGGTGGCGGTTGGTGTTGTTGCTGTTGTTGTTGCAGTGGTTGCTGAGGTGGTTGTGGAAGTTGTTGCGATTGTTGTTGTTGTTGCTGTTGTTGTTGATCATGTTGCTGCTTTTGTTGTTGCTGAGACTGCTTCTGTCATGGCAACCATTATGATAAATCCCCATTCTCAAATTGCTGCAGTTGTGCTGAGTTTTTGTTACGCATGACATGAGACTACATCTGTGCCAAAAACACAAAACCTGATAAGTCTGGGATTCTCTAATATTCATTTTAACATCAGGTTCTGGGTTTAAGGCTAAATGTTAAAATGGCATTAATTACTTCCTTAGGCAATGTTGTAAACAAAGACCCTAGTACAACTTAGGCTACATTAAAATACTTGTTATTATATAGTGCCATCTGTGAACATATCAAACTATTCTTGAAAAAAAAAAAAAAAAAAAAAAAAAAAAAAAGATGTATATTCTTTGTTGTTAGAAACTTGTAAAATCACCTGACAACATCACCCAATACCAGAAAAAATAATTATGAACTACATAACTGGCCAGTGTCAAGTGGAACAAGAATATGATGGACGATACTTTAAGTTCCTCAGAAAACCTTTCATATCATGAAAGAACAAATCCTACAGGGACTCTGTACTGCTGACAATGTAAAAACAGCTACTTTTTACAAAATAAATGTTCCTTGGGTCAAAGAACATTACTGTTATATTCCAAAGCAGGTTTCATGCCCTTATGATCCCAGGGCATTATATATATTAATAGTTTTATATCAAAACTATTTCTGGAAACCATTATAAAAAAATGGAAACCCCTATTACCTTTAACAATAACAGCATTTTCCTTTCAGAGGCTAAGTTTATTAATACGTTTCCTTAAAATGCTTTCCCTTTAATTATTCAACAGGTGACTATACAAGGTAAAAATTAAATTCTATGCAATTAATATAAGTAGGTATTACCAACTCAATGCAGGTGGTACCACGATGCCATGAAAATTAACACAGAAATTTAGTACTTGCTGGCAATTTGTTTAATCTATTGATTAACCACTGTGCACTAGTGTCTGACAGTTACTTCTGTGTGACATTAAATCATTTATTGCATATCACTGAACTTGATTATGTAGTAGCATAAACCTGTAATTACCACAAAGCCTTAATTCTGATAAGTTATATCAAGAGAAACAAGGCATAAATAATATGCTTTCCATTCCAAAATGTTTGTTTCGTATTCTCTATTTCATTACTCTCCCCTTTTCTTTATCAAAAAGCAAAATACTAATCTAACAGATGAATGTTATTCAGATCTTAGCAAAGTCAAATAGAAATAATGACTAATTTCCAACGAATCCCTTTCCCTCTTTGTCATATCATATCAGACACACTTGTGGATCATGGATACTTAAGACTTGAAATTATCTACATATAGCTCATGTCACCTGCTATAGGAACAGGTTCTTACTAGTTACAAAATGTTCTGGAGTATACTCTCACCTCCAAGAAAAAAAAAAAAAAAAAAAAAAATAGTATACTGAATTTTTTCATTTTCACGCTCATTTAGTTTATATTACGTGAATAAAATATGCCAATCTGACACACATTAGAAACTGAACCCTGTAAGTTGAAATACTGATCATCATCAGGAATATACACATGTATACATTAAAAGTGGTACACAAAATCATAAACCCTTTATCCTCTAACAAATCTTTAATATCAGTATTTCTGAACTTTCTTGCAAAATAACATTCCTTTAAAAAATAATTTTCAACAAGAAGACATTAGATTCTACTACCTCCTATGTAGTAAACAGTGTGATCAATCTGCTTCCAACTGGATACAGGTACATCAACCAATATCATCATTTTATCTTCTTCCTCTGATCAAAATTACAGGAAATTATTATATAACCTGAATTGCAGATGGGATGGCATGTCTGAGCATGCCATACTCACTTTGAATTTAATTTACTGATTGTGTTTACACATAGATTACTCCATATGGAGTCAATATCTAGTAATTTCTTGTCTCAGCTTTTTGGGTGTTTCCTTGATTTTTTTTTTTTTTTTTTTTTTTTTTTGAAATATTAGTCTTTAGTTTATGTTCTTAAAATTCTTAGCATTATAATGTTTATGATGTCAATAATAATAACAATATCAACAGAAAAGTTTCCCCTCCCAAAAAAATCAAGGAAAGTGGAAACCAAGTGAGGTCATGTAGGCCTACTAATTGACTCCTTTCTGGCTGAACACCTTTGGAGCCATGTATGTCTAAACACGTCACAAAACCAAACTACAGTGGGCAATACATGTTCCCATTGACAAAGGGTTAAGGGGACTATCGACTTGATTTTTATTTTGTACCAAAAAATGGGAGAAAACTTTACAGGTTAAATTTTCTGAATTACACATGTTATTCCCCATATCTAAATACATTTGGCCTATAACATTTTTCTTCAGTTTTAATTATTGTTTTTAGTTCTTTATATTATTGAAATATAGTGCCTTAAATAGATGTGTTTTGGTCTTTATAATGACTGATGATGCCATTTGGTTTGTTAACCCCCATGATCTGAATAGAGTTATATACTTATATATCATTCATGGGTATCATGGAAAAATCTGGGTCAAGGGCCGGGTGATGTGAACATGCTGTCATTGAACAAAATTGCTGCGGGGTGGATGACACAAACTTGCCATCATGAGCGAAGGCCAGGGTGACAGAAAAGACTTGCCAAGAGTGCACAAACCTCTTGGAGTGTGATTGGACTTATTTGGTGCTTAGAAGGGGGCTTTAGCTTTATTCCCATCGATAAACGAATGTGGGATGTAACGTGCATAAGGCGAGATGGGATAAGTGCTGGCTTCAAGAAGGACAGCATTTCCATGCTATGCACCATATTCTTGGCTGCTGTGACTGGTGGTGCATGTTGTTTAATGTAAAATTGAAAATAGCACAGAAATGATATATGAGATATAACCAAATGTTCCATACTTTTGTTTTTGTTTTTATTTTTTCTTGCAATGAGTTATTCACTACATAGAGAGATGATATGGAATCTGTGCAAAGAAAATAAGCTATTATCTTCTGGATAAAGCAAATCAAAAGACAAATATGGA